GTGATAGCACATAGTGAACTGATAAGGGCTGTGCTGACATAGTAAGCGGTAAGTCATTAATTTTGTCACAGCGCCTTTTCTTGGCAATGGCAGGCTCCCATTATTGGTTCATTAAGCTGGCATGGATCAACGTAATGAATGCTATAAGTCATTCCTGCACGGCGAAGAGATTGGAGACGTTTGTGTGCATATTTCATTTCAAAATGTGCAAATCTGTATTCAGTGGTTCTATGTACAATCCACAGGCTAATTCAAGGCCAATTTAAACAAGGCACTTACAGTCAAATGAAGCTCGCAGTATTCAATGAGAGCGTGGGCCACCGCATTACTTAACTGGACACTTAACTACAAGGAGGAGCTGCATGATACAACAAAAGCAATTCAAGTGACTTTAATTGTACACACACTGGTTTTAATAGTGGCTGTTTGCTCCCCAAATAGAGGTTAGAGGTAGTGAGCCAACAGGACACATTGGGTCTTCTGACTAAAGGTTTACTATATATATCTTGGGAACTTTGGATTTGTGTCTGCTCTCAACATTTCCTTGTAGAAACACTAACACACCTGTCGTCTTAGGAGGTCTGCAGGTATTTTCTTTTAGCGCAGTTTGACAACACACTTTACCTTTCAGTCAGGTCCAGTTTCAGACACCGTCAATAAATTACCCAGTTTCTCTGCTCACTTTCCATTCATCCCTAGTCCACACAGCCCGGGTCTCTGTTACGTCCACTGTTGGGCTGAGTGTTGGATTAATAGCAATGTCACCGCAGCTAAATGCAACTGAGGAAAATGTAAAAATAAGTCTGTGCTAAACATCTGCTCCTGTATGACTGTGTGTGTCTCTAGCCGAACCACTCTCACATCCACACAGTTATTCTTACTGACTGCTGGCTCACCCTCTTCATCCTCTTTTCCTATCAACCAAGCACACACACACACACACACATTCTCGCACCGCACATTATTATTGTGCAAGTATGAGTGTGTATCTGTGTGTTCTCGCACTATGCACGTGTGTAGGCAGTGATGTGCAGTGTTTCCTTCTTGGATTAAACCAGGCCAGCGCCCCAGAGGACTGCAGGTTAATGTGGCCTATTTCAAGCGATTATTCCTGCGTCGTCACAGCATACACATGAAGGCTGCTAGATAGAAGAGGCACGGCAGTATCGAAGCCTCAGGATGGTTTACAAACGGGTTTATCTCCAAAAATATCTCTTGTATTTAAAAGAAATCAGACTAAAGTTCATCACTTTGCTTTCATATCATTAACCTCTCCTTATTATTGTTTCCTTTCTTTGAAATGTATTTGTACCTTTCTTTTTATTCGAATTTTCTCTCCTTTATTTGAACTATAAAAGTCTAATATTTCAGAGTGCAACCTTTCCTTCTATCACGCCTTCCTTTCCTCTTCTTCATGTCTTCTCTTTCCTCAGACATTGCCCCCTTGTTTTCCCCTCCGCTCTCTATTCTGTTTACCCTGCCTCCTTGTTTCATGAAAGCTATCTGTGCCTGTATTAATGACTCCGACCACTGGGAGCAACATCAGCTCTGAATGGATGTGGCACTTTTTCTCTTTAATAGGTTATTATCAGACCTGCACGTAGCTCAGGTGGCGACAGTAACGATGGGTAGATTCAATGCCACGGCTATTTGTTAGGTGCATCTAGTAGCCAGGTTGAGCTATTGCTGTTGATAACAGGTGTTATGTAGTTTAACATTCCT